AGTGATTGTAAATATGTAAATATATGATAGAACATTAGTATTATACAAGATTTGTGCATGTTTATTGTAATAAACAACAGTGGTAAACAATAATATGATAACTTTAGTGCAGTTATTGTGTTCAATACAGTGAGTTTATATATATACATTATATACAGTATTGGTCTCTCAGGCCCCAAATGTTAGTAGGAATAGAAAAAAATTGGAAAAGAAAAAAAAACTATAAAAACCGCTGAATAATGTAATGCGTGTATGTGGAATTCGTCGATGTTGCCGCCACCACATCATTTTTGACAAACTTCTTGGCACTGTATCTCGGTAAGTACCGATCAGAATTTTTTTTGTCTTATTACCTTCACAAAAATATGCTCTTCAATTCTGTAAGAAAAAATAGTTTTTTTTTTTTTTTTTTTTTTTTTTTTTTTTTTTTTTTTTTTTTTTTTTTTTTTTTTTTTTTTTTTTCAAAATTTCTTGGACACTGGAGCACCACTTCAGATTTTGGCCTTGGACCCTGAAGGGGTTAAAGAACTACACGAAAGCAATGTTTCAAAGGTGCTTTAATGTGACCTCAGACACTCGCTTGACCCTAAAAGAGTTTTGGAAAGAACACTTCAGCATCCTCCATTGCATAAGCCTTATAGGTAAGGCTTGGGAGGGAGTGACTGCCAGGACTCTGAACTCTGCTTGGAGAAACTTGTGGCCAGATTGTGTCCACAAGAGGGATTTTGAAGGGTTTGAGGCAGTGCCTGATGAACCTACGTCAGTTGTGAACTCTATTGTGGCATTGGGAAGTTCCATGGGGTTGGATGTGAGTTTGGAGGATGTGGAAGAGTTGGTGGAAGACCACAATGAAGGGCTCACCACTGAGGAGCTGCAAGAGCTTCAGCAGGAACAGCAACAGATCACAGCTCAGAATCTTGCTGAAGAGGGGGAGGAAGAGTGATGGAAGAAGGTGCCTTCTTCAGAAATTAAGGAGATTTTTGAAATGTGGGGTAGGATGGAAAGATTTATGGAGAAACATCACCCTGAGAAGGGTGTTGCAAGCCATTTCGGCAACTTGTACAGTGACAGAGTCTTGGCCCATTTTAGGGAAGTTTTAACCCTTTGACTGTCGAAGGGCCAAATCCTGAAGTTGCTTCTGGTGTCGCAAAATATTCGAAAAAAAAAAAAATTATTTTTTCTTACGAAATGATAGAGAATCTTTTCCCGATTGTAAAGACACCAAAAAAACGAAATTTGATGGAAAACTGACGGAATTACGCTCTCGCGAAGTTAGCGACTTCGGCGATATTTAAAAATCGGCAATTTCGCCCACTTTGAGCCCTATTTTCGGCTAATTCCGTTATTCCAGTCAACCAAACTCATAACTATTTCTTCAGAACTCTATTTTTTCTATCGATTGAGTACAAGAAACTGCCCATTTACCGATTTCAACTACCCAATACATGGTCAGAAATTTGCAATTTGGCCAATTTCACGAAAATTTAAAAATACGACAATTTCAAAATAAGGTCCAGAATGAACAATGCAGACATTCCTGGCTCTAAAATAACATTTTCTTTGTTCATCAGTCATGTCTCCAGGTCCCTGTGATATTACTCTTGCTTTTTATTTTGAAATTTTATTCAAACAAAAAATAGAAGATTTACTGTTATGCAGACTACTGCAATACTGTAATAAATTGTAAAAATTACATCAACCCATTCATGACTGCGTATTAGAATGGCTATTTGGACATTTATTGGACTATGACATCATTTGTTCACTTTTGAAAAATCGGCAAAAATCAAACAATTTCCTGTACTTTGTGCTCCATTTCCAGGGTTTTTTTTATAGTAAAATTAATCAAAATCACCTCCATTTCTATAATATAGTTTCCATTCTATCAAATGGAACCAAGAAAACGAGAATACACCCACAAATACTATACGAAAATAGACCACAAAGTCGGCATTTTAATTAAAAAAAACGGTCGGAGTTTTTTTTTTCTCATTATGCACTGCGTGCTCCAGGATTTTTTTTATGTGGTGCACACTGACCACACAGACCCATTCTCTCACATGTGGGCCTACTAGCTTTCTCCTGCCTGATTTGAAGCCGCTAGAATTTATGAGTATATATACGTCAAACACGGTACCTCGCAAACGTATATATACGGCCGCGACAGTCAAAGGGTTAAAGAGACGCCAGAAACAGAGCTCTCTGGACAGTTTTTTTGCGAGACAGGACTCAGTGACCCTCAAGCTGGTCCTAGTGGCATTAAGAAACATAGAAGAGAAGTAACCCCAGAAAAGCACTTGGTACCTGAGGTGTTGATGGAAGGGGATTCCTCTTCCGAACAGTAATTCAATCTCTCTCCTCCTCCAGTCTTCCATACACTAAGAAGAATTGCCAATAAAAGTAGTGTTATGCTGTTAATGTTTCATTCATCATGTCCCATTATATTGTTTATGTACTACATCTATATTTCATGTAAAAAAAAAATTTTTAATACTTCTGGGTGTCAGGAACGGATTAATTGTATTTACATTATTTCTTATGAGGAAAATTGATTCGAAAATCGTCTATTTCAATAATAGTCCCACTTCCAGGAACGGATTAAGGACGATAATTGAGGGACCACTGTATTATGTATGATTATAAATTACCCCTAGGGGGTGTTATGTCAGCATATTTCATTCACTGATTTTTTGACGACACTTGCGTGGACTCAAAAGTCCGCACCTCACTGCCAACTATAGGTTGATTACAAACTCCTTGCGACACAAGAACTTGGCAGTCCCCTGTATTACAAGGTAATTCATAACCTACCTTGCTCTTGTAGCATGAGCTATGGTGTTCTTTACACCCTCGACAGGTATCTGTGACTTGATAGAAGCTGAAGTGTCCTTGGATGTCCACCTCTTCCATAGTCTAGGAATACGCACACTGGTACACTGTTCCACAAGGTTTGTCTTTATTGTTCACAATCTTATCACTAAAGAAGCTGATCACAATTCTCTAAGTGTTTATCATGTTTTGTGAGACACTTTGTTCACACTAACGCACGGATCAGTGTTCTTTGTTGGTTATCCTGGCGTCAGTGTGACTCCCAGTAGGGTGAAAAGTAATCTGACCTCACAGCATCCTACGATGCTACAATACCCCTAGAACATAAAGGAAAAGCTGATCTAGTACTTTTTGCTTCATTGCCAAACTTCCTCCATGAAGCAGAGCGGAATGCTTAATTCTTGCTGTCTTAAGCATAAACTACAATGTACACTATCTTTACCATGGTAATAAAGTGGGAGCAGGATTTTCCTTAATTGTCCTGCTAAGGTAAGAGATGGACTGTCTCTTATTAAACTACACTTTGCAACACTGGACTCTTGCAAGGAGCAGTGGTCTCTTGACCACATCACATACTTGTATTGCATCTGGGATCAATTACTTGCTGTAGCAGTAAACAAGATGTTTGCCCCTTCTGAGAGGGCTGGGGCCCTCAGGGCTGAAAGGGGCTGATACCCCCCTCCTGGAGAAAATTTCTCCACAACAAAGATGGTAGTAAAGCAATTGCGAAGAACTACAGATCGATAACACTAACAACCCATATCATAAAAATATTTGAAAGGGTTCTAAGAAGCAAGATCGCCAACCCCCTGGAAACCCATCAGTTACACAATCCAGGGCAACACAGGTTTAGAGCAGGTTGCTTCTGTCTGTCCCAGCTACTGAACCACTATGACAAGGACCTGCGTGCTATAGAGGATGAACAAAATGCAGATGTAGTGTACACAGACTTTGCAAAAGCCTTCGACAAATGCGACCACAGTGTAATAGCGCACAAAATGCACGATAAAGGAATAACAGGAAAAGTTGGTAGATGAATCTATAACTTCCTAACAAATATAATACACTGAGTAATAGCAAACAGTAAAGTCTAAGGCAGCTACTGTGAAAAGCTCTGTTCCACAAGGCACAGTACTCGCTCCCATCCTATTCCTCATCCTCATATCTGACATAGAGAGATGTAAACCATAGCTCTGTGTCTTCCTTTGCAGATGTCACCTGAATTTGCATGACAGTGTCCTCAATCGAAGACAACATGACACTCCAAGTGGACATCACTCAAATCTTCAAATAGGCCACCAAAAACGATGTGAAGCTCAATGAAGAGAAATTTCAACTACCCAGTTATGGAAAACTTGAGGAAATTAAAACTGTATCAGGGTATACAACAAATTCTAACCATACAATACAGCAAAAAAGTAATGTGAAGGACCTGTGAGTGATAATGTCAGAGGATCTCGCCTTCAAAGACCAGAATAATGTATGTACCACATCATCTAGAAAAATGATAAGATGGATAATGAGAACCTTCAAAACTAGGGGCACCAAGCCCATGATTCTCTTCAAATTGCTTGTGTTCTCTAGGCTGGAATGCTGCTGTACACTAACTGTCCCCTTTAAGGCAGGTGAAATTGCTGACCTGGAGAGTGTACAAAGAACTTTCACGGCACACATAAGTACGATAAAGCACCAAAATTACTGGGAACGGTTGCAGTCCCTTGTTTTGTAAGATTGTAGGGAATGAGTATGGAAGTGATAGGACTTTGTAGATACAAGTAGAGTTTTGTAATTTGATATGGTTTTTGAAGTGAATGGATTCAGGGATGCAGGTTTGTGGGACAAGTTCTGGGGGTTGAGAGCTACCATGTCTGCTCTTTAACATATGGGAGGCAATGTTACTTTTCAGCAGATCATTGGAGATGTGATGTCAGTTATTCTGGAAAGTTAGCCATTGAATAAGTAATGGTAAATGTGTTTTCCTTCTTTGATCACACAATAAAGGGATCTTAGTGGTGAAAAATTTTGGAATGGGGAGGAGTGAGGAAGAAATAGAGGAAATACATTTTGTTATTCCTTTTTCCTCATTTAGTTTTCAACAGGATTTCATATATTCTTGTATATTACATGATATATGCAAATGAGAAAGACTGGATACCTTTTTGGATCACCCTAATACTTATAATATTTTATAGATTTGCCAGAAGTAGTGGTGAAAGGTGTGTGTCGTCTGGCTGTGCAAGTGGTGCAAACTTACACTGACGGTCCACTACGAAGTAAACTGAGGGAGCTAATTTCCAGCTTGGCCATGAAGCACGCAACAGCCATCCCAGCTCTGGCACACTCTCTCCAGCATCATGCTCATCATCATGCTAATGCTCCTCATTCTTCGTAAGTATTTATTCTTCATTGTTCAACTAAAACAATTAAGAAAATAAAAGAGTTTGTAGCAATTTCTCTTTATGCATTACAAAATAAATATTACTGTAGTTTGGTAACACGATGGAAATAAATGGTTTAAAATACTGACACAATAGAAAAATAAACACATAAACAGTATAATGGATCCTTTATTGACAACATTTCGCCCACACAGTGGGCTTTATCAAGTCACAAAGAGATCTACCTGGGTGAAAGATATGTGAGTATTTATAGGATGGAATCAGGTGGAGAATGCTGGGTCAGGTGGAGAATGCTGCTTGTGACAATCTTATGAATAGGGTGATAGAGGCTAGGACCTTAGGTAGCTTTAACCCTTTCAGGGTTTTTGAACTTCTTACACGCCAGGGTTATTGACATACAGTGGACCCTCGACCGGCGATGGCATCGATTAACGATAAATCTGACTAGTGATACATTTTATCGCAAAAATTTTGCCTCGATTAGTGCTAAAAAACTCGACCAACACTATTCGTTCCGTCTGAGACGCGTCCACTTCTGGCCAGTGTTTACAAGCCAGCCAGCCACCGCGGTCGCTTCCAAGCATACAATCGGAACATTTCATATTATCACAGCCTTTTTAGTGATTGCACCTGCAAAATAAGTCACCATGGGCCCCAAGAAAGCTTCTAGTGCCAACCCTACAGCACAAAGGGTGAGAATTACTATGGATATGAAGAAAGAGATCATTGCTAAGTATGAAAGTGGAGTGATGTCTCCGAGCTGGCCAGGCTGTACACAAAACCCCAATCAACCATCGCTACTATTGTGGCCAAGAAAACGTCAATCAAGGAAGCTGTTCTTGCCAAAGGGGCAACTATGTTTTCGAAACTGAGATCGGAAGTGATAGAAGATGTTGAATGAATGTTATTGGTTTAGATAATCGAAAAACGATAGCAGGAGATAGCAATCTCTCAAGCGATCATATGAAGAAAAGCTAGGAAGTTTGCATGACGATTTAAATTAGATAATGCCTGCAATAGTGGTGATGTGAGTGAATTTAAAGGCCGCAAGGTTGGTTGAGAGATTTAAGATTCGTTGTTGCATAAATAGTGTGATAAGCATGGTGAGGCTGCCCGTTAGACCAAAAAAGAGCTGAAAAAAAGATGTGCAGGAATTCATGGATACATTAGACAGTGAAAGGACTGAACCTGAAACAAGTGTTAATGGTGGACACTGACATTGGTTGTGAAAACACTTTAGGAATGTCATGAAGGAACGGGAGGTCAGGCCTATATGGGCAGATATGTGTGTGACAGAGGTCCAGTGACTCTTCAAGCTGGTCTAGTGGCTTAAAAGTAGAAGGGAAGTAACCCGAAAAAGGACTTGCACCCTCAAGTCCTAATGGAAGGGGATTCCCCTTCTAAAACACTAAGCCTTCAACAAAACTTTGTTTTTTTTCTTTTTTTGATTTTGACCCACCCTTGCTTTTTCCATCCCATCAATCATCACCAGTCTTCAATAAAGGTAAGTGTCATGTAACTGTGCTTGTCTTATTCAGTTTGTGTGTATTAAATTTAATATTTCATGTGATAAAATATTTTTTTTTTTTCAAACTTTTGGGTGTCTTGCGCGGATATTAATTTGATTTCCATTTTTATTATGGGGAAAATTATACTTGACTAACGATTATTTTGACCAACAATGAGCTCTCAGGAAGGATTAATAGAGGTGTCGAGGGTCCTCTGTACTAGTACGCATAAATTCTGGCGTCTCAAATCCAGGCAAGATAAGGGCTGGTAGTAAGAACGCAGGTATCAGTAGGCAACTTTATTACGAAACGTTTCGCCTACACAGTAGCGTCTTCAGTAGAATTACAGAAAGTTTAGGCAAGGAACGTAGAAGATGTGAGACGATTGTAATCAGTCCATCACCCTTGAAGTCGTAGAATTTGAGGTTGTCAGTCCCTACAGCATGGAGTAGTTCAAGTTCCTTAGTCATTGTTCCATAGTTCAGTTCCATAGGCTGCATGGGAGAAGTTCAGGTCCATAGTCCAAGTTCCATAGTTCAGTTCCATAGTCAGTTCCTGACTATGGAACTGAACTTTCTCCAGGGCTGAGGGACTGCAACCTCAAATTCTACAACTTCAAGAGTGATGGGATGATTACATCGGTCTTCACATCTCTACTTTCCTGCCCTGCTTTTGTATTCGACTGAAGTATGACTTCATGTGTTGGCGGAATCGTTTCGGAATAAAGGTTGCCTATGTGTCTTACTACCAACCTGTGGTTTTGTATACCTTTTTGTTGTTCAAGTTAAGGTGGTCAGGCATAGATGTGAGAGAATGGGTCTGCATGGTCGAGTTTGCAACAGTTACAAAGTAAATCGGGGACCCTGTGGTTGCATTGTGGGAAAAACTATTTATTTAACCCTTGTTTCATGTCTAGCGCTTACGAAACTCCTCACTCCTCGGCTAATTAGGGCTCCTTGTTTCCAAGTAACAGTTTAAAAACACAGATGGAAGTGTCATTGAAGGTGGTGATATGTCATGGTTTTGAGGAGTTTGTGACAAAGCAATGCCTAGGAAACCTGAAGTAATGAAGAAGAAAAAGGAAGGAAGGAAGGAAGGTGGAGATGAAAGGATGGAAGGAAGGAAGGGAGGGAGGGTGGGAGGGAGGGAAGGAAGGAAGGAGGGAGGGGAAGGAAGGAGGGGAGGAGGGAGGGGAGTGGAAAGGAAGGATGGTGGAGGGAGGGGAAGGAAGGAAGGATGTAGTGAGGGAGGAAGGAAGTAGGATTTAGGGAGGGAGGGATGGACAGGAAGTAGGGAGGGAGGGAAGGAAGTAAGGAGACCATCACCTTGGATCATACCTCTCAAAAAATTCAGAACAGGACCTATACTATGTGGGTTGGGGGGGGGGGGGCGGCCGACGGGGGTAAGAGGACGTTGCAGGGCAGTGAGGTGGTGAGTGATGGTGCTATTTGTCATCGTGACACTAATTATGCTGGTGACTCAGCATATTTACAAGTCCACCACCACACAACTAACTACGAGCTTTACCAGAAGCTGTAGCATTTCTGTAAGTGGCCAGTGACTTTATATGTGATATATGATAGAAAAATAGTAATTTATAAACAAATTTTTTATCACTAAACACAGGTATCCCACACTACATTTAACTATCATCAATACCATTTAACTAAAATCACACTAAACATTACTATTACCGCTACACTTAACTTTCACTACACTAAACTGTAATCACTACACTCAACTGTTCATTTCACTACACTCAAACTATCATCACTATGCTTAACCTTTGAGGGTTTTCGTCGTACTTGTACGTCTTACGCGTAGGGGTGTTTTGACGTTACTAATACTCAATAAATTCTACGACCTCAAATCTAGTGGAGAGAAAGCTGGTAGGCCTTCATATGAAAGATTGGGTCTATGTGGTTCAGTGTGCACAGTCAAAAATTATCCTGCAGCACTCGTGCATAATGAGAAAAAAAAACTTTTTCATTTTTTTTTAATAAATCAGCGACTTTTGCAGTGTATTTTCGTATAGTATTTATTGTTGTATTCTAGTTTTCTTGGTCTCTTTTTTAGAATGGTTGACATGGTTACTGAAATTGAGATGATTTTGACTGGTTTACAATGAAAGGTGCCTTGAAATTGAGCTCAAAGTAGGCAGAAAATGTTCGATTTTACCAAAGTCAAAGTAAACAAATCGGTGCCAAGCGTGCAATACACGTCAAACTGTGTGAGTTAATCTTCTTTCCACAAGTGCCACCAATAATATTTATTACCATTTTTTACTATAATGCAGTAGTCATCCATAACAGTTAAAATCTTATATTTTTGTGAGATAAAAATTAAAGTGGAAAGCAAAAGAATATAAGAGGGGGCCTAGGGGCCTTGAGACGTGACTAATGACTAGAGGAAATGTCATTTAGTGCAGGAATGGCTTTCATGTTTATTCCTGGACCTATTCGGAAATTGGCAATCTTTTGAATTTGTGTGAATTTGGCAAAATTGCTAATATTCGACCCGGTACTGGATAGTTGAATTTATAACAATGGGTGGTTTCTTTGCACCCCATTCGATAGAAAAATGGAGAGTTCTAGCGAAATATTCAGTTTTTTGTCGACTAGTACAGTGAAAATGAAATTGGCCGTAAAAAATGGGGTCAAAGTGGGCAAATCGCGTTCCGTAAAATCGCCGAGACCGCTAACTTTGCCGAGAGCATAATTCCGTTAGTTTTCGATCAAATTTCAAAACTTTTGGTGTCGTTATGATCGGGATAAGATCTTCTATCTTTTCATAAGAGGAAAATTATTTTTTTTTTTATTTTTAAATTTGGCGACATGAGAACGAGTTTCGGAGAGGGCTGGTCGACCCTCAAAGGGTTAACTGTCATCACTACACTTAACTGTCGCACTACATTATCTGTCTTCACTTTGCTTAACTGTCATTCACTATGGTAACTATCTATCACTATTTACTGATCACCACTACCACTTTTACTATACATACAACTTCTAACTTTCACTACACTCAACTGTCACCAATACACTCAACTATCACACTTCATTAACTGTCAATCACTACGCTTAACTGCACCACCACTACCACTTAACTATCATCACTACACTTTGCTATTATCACTACACTTAGCTTTTTATCACTACACTTAGCTATCATCAATACACTTAGCTATCATCACTACACTTAACTTTAACCCACTACCTAAATGCACCTCCTGTTCTATCACGTTTTTTTTTTTTTTAAGGCTGAAATACAGAGGTGGTGTCTTATCTCTTTACAACCTCCTCTGTATCTGTATATGTGGGTAATTGTGAAATCAATACTATGTTATGAGCGATGAGAAGAAGTTTTTAGAGATAATTTAAGGTCATGTGTTGGTTTGACCACCCATGGTGGGCAATTCTTGCTGGAATAAGTCTTGCGGTTTACAGTCGTTGGAACATCTCCAAATGGGTTAGGAGGCGGA